TAGATAGATAGATAGATAGATAGATAGATAGATAGATAGATGGATAGGATAGGATAGGATAGGATAGGATAGGATAGGATAAAGATAGAAGATAGATAAAGATAGAGATGAGAGAGGGAGGGAGAGAGCAAGGGGGAGAGAGGGAGAAAGGGAGGGAGGGCGAGAGAAAGAGGTTAGACAGACAGATATATCATTTGATGGAACAGGTTGCCTTCAGAAGTTGGGGGTGCTCCTTCACAAGTTCTTTAAAAAGGGTCCTGAGAACCACCTGTCTGAAATGCTGCAGGGTCTCCTGCTTGTGCCGCGGGTTGGACTAGAAGACCTCCAAGGACCCTTCCAGCTCTGTTTCTGATTGAGATGAAATCTGGGCCTTGCAAAGAAATGAAGGAAGGCACTTGCTGCTTTTGGGCTCAATTGTGGGTCGTAAACTGAGGACTACCTGCTCCCTCAAGCACAGATTAAAGTACATTTTAAAACAAACATGGGCATTTAAACCACAAAGCCCTAGAACTACATAACCCATCCGCTCAACAGGTGATTTTTGCCAGCTGTCCCAGAACCAATTGCTGATTCTTAAAGAAGTGGAGACCTCCTTTCTAACTGCAGCTTGCCTCCAATTCGTTTCTCCTGCGTCTTTCTCCCAGCTTGGAGTAAGATTTTAATGGATTTTAATTCCAGCCGGGGAAAACTTTATTTACAATATTTATTTTATTTGCAGGTTGAAATCTGTTCACGATGAGCGCTTTCTATTCGACCCCCGAGGTGCAATTCTCTCGCCGTCCGAATCTGGTAAATAAAAATTCTTTTTTTTTTTAACTAACCGAAGGAAGGAAAATTTTGTTTATTGGTCTCATGTCCAGCGAATAGTTGTTCTCATAAAGCATCAGTCATTCACAAGAGTGAAGTTCAACACTGCTCCAAAAATGTCCTTTCCAAAATCTAACTTTGGTTAGGTCAGGTGTTTCCCAATGTTGGCAACTTTTAAGATATGAGGACTTCAACTCCCAGCTGGCTGTGGAATTCTGGGATTTGAAGTCCATCCGTCTTCAAGCGGTTGATTCAGCTGGGGAATTCTGGGAGTTGAAGTCCACTGAGCTTCAAATTGTTACAACAGCTGGGGAATTCTGGGATTTGAAGTCCATCTGTCTTCGAGATGGATTCGTAACTGGCTGACCAACCGCACTCAACGTGTCGTCCTCAATGGAACTGCATCTACATGGAGGGAAGTATGCAGTGGGGNTTTTATTGTGAGCCGCCCTGAGTCTCTCGGGAATAGGGCGGCATATAAACTCAATAAATTGAAATTGAAATTGAACCACCTTAGAAATCGGGTTCTTCTTCTGGCTGATAACAGTTCTTCCTGGAAAGGAGGAGACGGTCCCATCCATAGGACAGTGAGAAACACTCTTCCCATCGGTACTTCAAGGGCTGGATAAAGTCTTGTCTTATTCTTATTCTCACCTGTCACCTGGATCTACCAAGGGTCCACCAAGATTCTGGAAATGGAGTAGATGGAAACATTGAACAGAAATCATGTCCTGTCTCATCTGATGGTTCTGGACTCGAGCACTGCAGGGGGAAATGAACCTTGGTGCTGCCAGCCATCAATAGCGCATTCTTGTTGTGGTGCCTTGCAGTTCTTCACCAGAGGTTGTGTAGTTGGCACTTCTGTCTTATCAGAAGCTGTGGGAAGTCTCTGCGCGACAGTCCATATGGGCTGTTAAGGTCCAGACGAATATGAAATCTCCTGACTTACCGCAGAGAGCTGGGCGTGGCGGCTCTTCCCCTCAGGCGAACCCCCACTTGCTTTCCATATACCCATGCAATGGGAGGCAGGAAGAAGGGAGGGTGTCCTCCCCTTCCCCATCACTCAACCCAAGTTGTGGGCTGTTTACATTTCCTGCACTGCAGAGAGCTGCTTAAATATTTAAATCTCCCAAATCCCCATCTTCATTTATATCAGCCACAACTAATGAAGGGAAAATGACTTTCCTATTGGAGAGGAGGGGAGAGGGAGAGGGAGGGAGAGGTAGATTCTTCTCTCATCTACCACTGCCCTTAAATGCAGCTCTCTTGGCCCATGAGTGAGAGGGTCCCTCACCACCAGTCAACTAAGTGGAAATGAGGAGAGACCATTAACTTCCATAGCCTACTAGCACTTTCTGGAGAAGCGCCTGAAATAATGAAGTTCAACAGATGCGTCATAAGGGGAAGCACAGGGTAGACCAGGCCAGGCTGGGCATGAGTTACCTACCTCACAGACAACGGGGAGCAGAAACTGTTCTGTGAGCTGTCTTTGGAAGGATGCAGGTGGGGCAGTTCTGCAAATTAGGAGGAGAGGAGAGAGAAGAAGAGAAGAGAGAATAATGAAATGAAGAATAGAACAGAGTAGAATGGAATAGAATGGAATGGAAAAGAGGAGCGGAGAAGAGAGGAAAGAATAATGAAATGAAGAATAGAACAGAGTAGAGTGGAATAGAATGGAATGGAAAAGAGGAGCGGAGAAGAGAGGAAAGAATAATGAAATGAAGAATAGAACAGAGTAGAGTGGAATAGAATGGAATGGAAAAGAGGAGCGGAGAAGAGAGGAAAGAATAATGAAATGAAGAATAGAACAGAGTAGAGTGGAATAGAATGGAATGGAATGGAAAAGAGGAGAGAAGAAGAGAGGAGAGAGGAGAGGAGATACTGATCAGAGCAGCCTAGCAATTGGATCTTCCCAGATAAGATGCAAAGCTTCATTACAGGTCACAACATGGGTTGGGGCTGATGGGATTTGAGGGAGAAAGTCGCCCTCTGTGCTGACTGCAGCACAGAACCTCTCTCCTGCCGCAGGCGCCTGGGCTGGGCCGTTGCGCTGGATGCCTGGGCTCCAGAAATGGATTTCCCATCAAAGTCATAATGGAGGAGGGTCTCCGTGCTCCCGGGGGGCAGCTGGAGGTCTTCCACAAGGGACACAGCGATGGCGGTCAGTCCATGCCAAACCTTTGAAAAGGCTCCGAGCAAAATGAGCATGAGTGAAGGACAATGGATTGATTTCAAGATGGAGACAAAATGCAGTAAAATGGGACAATTGAAACAAATGGATTGGATTTACACACAATTCAGCTCACTTTAGGGGTAATTTGATACTGTGAGCCAGCTATTATCCACGAAGCTTGATCTTAAAAAGAAAGAGGGGAGAAGGCAGCAGGGGAGGTAATATGAGGGGGGGGAACCAGGGGACTCAAACTCCCTGGAAGCTGAGTTGTGCATTTAGTATTTTACCTGACTTTTGACACAATCTTCACACAAGCCAGACCGGGGTACCTGGTGGAAATTGCTATCACAACGTGGCAAGGTGGGTACCTCTGGGAAAGGTGGTGACTAATGCTGGTGCCTCCACTCACCTGAGACAGGTGTTGGCAAGAGCCTTCAGCGGAAAAATTCCTTCAATTTCAAAATTGCCCTTCAACATAAAACTTCTGGTGTGCAGGATAATCAATAACAAACTGGCAAGGGAAGAGGTGAACCGGGAAGGAAATCAGCCTCCATAATTATATGGTTACTAATATATTCCTATTTTCAGCAGTGAAATATGGGGGGGACCATGAAGATTTTCGTTCTTCTTATCCCACCTGGACCATGCTGGGGCTGTAGAAATGTTCCTCTCGGCTTCAAAAGGACGGTTTTATTATTATTAGTGCTTCTGGGATGCTTCAGCCTGGCCCAGAGGAGAAAACAGCTGGCCAGGTGCATATACAGTATGTGATAAGGAGGAGAACCTTGTGGCTTAGTGGTTAANTGCGGTTTTGACGGGTCACGAAGAATTTACATCCCCCCCTCCACCTAAATTCCAAGGACAGGACAGGATCTTTAGGACATAATGGGATTTATCCACCACCGTCAAACTAGCAAAAGTCACAAGGCTCACTACTTTGCACAACCCCCCTGGAGCATCTCAAACACCAAAACCCTATAAAAATCCACCCACTCGCTCAGCTGTTTTGTCAGCAACATGTTGCTGTCCCTGAAGTTTCGGAAAAGGATTCCCACAACACATATTTCCACTACTCAGGTGACCGTGAGGATACAGATAAGCCTCCAAGGGGCCTCAACGGCTCTCGAAAAGGATGCAAATGACCAGCTGTCTTCAAGGAGTATCAATCCTTCCAAATAAACGGAGGGCTTTTTCCCCCCTCCCGGATCGGAACCGGATCGGATTTTCCTCCCTACAGTGTGGAAGCTTCTTGGAACCGTTGTAAGGACTTTCGTTGTAGGCTGGAGATAGACGGACGAGGTTTCCAGCTTAACAAACGTCTTCAAAGAATCACGAGAAACTCCAGCTGCCTTGTGAAAAAGCTCTTTTGGGAACAAGGAAATAGGATAGTGAGGTTTAACGCCCAGATTGGGATAGAATCAGAGCAGGATTAAAATGGAAACTTGGGGGGCAGAAAATAGGATAACCATCCTTGTTGATTTTCAGGAGAAGGGCGTTAAAGCAGGGGGTTCTAAACTTGGGAACTTTAAGACTTGTGGACTTCAAGTCCCAGAATTCATGGGGAATTCATGGGAACAGCATGGCTGGCTGGGGAATTCTGGGAGTTGAAATCCACAAGTCTTAAAAGTTCCCACGATAGGTCACCCCTGGCGTAAAGGTTCAAGCTTCCATGTCACCCCACTTTGCTTGCAAAAAGTTTTCTCCAACCCAGGACATAAGCGGAGCGGCCATTCTGGCACATTACCAATAGTTCCTGACTTACAACGGCGCATTTAGTGACTGCCTGCAGCAGTGGTGGGTTTCAAAAAATTTTCGAACCTATTCTGTGGGTGTGGCCTCCTTTGTGGGAGTGGCTTGCCGGCCATGGGACCTGGTGGGAGTGGCTTGCCAGCCATGTGTTTT